ACCCCAGGGGCATTGCACCTGGGGGGAGCGGAGAGCTGGGGCAGCTTATCCTGTTTGGGGGGATGAAGCAGAGGGGTTTCCCCGAGGTGAAGGAGCCGGCGGCTGCTCCCAGCCCTGCTGGTCCCCCGGGACAGCCGGGCTCTCCCGGCCCTGGGCAGCTCTCCGGGGAGCATCGGGCTCTCCGTGCTGCTGGAAAAATCTCCATATATGGAGAGGATGGGGATGCTGAGCTGAGCCAAACCGCCCCAACGGGAGCCCTGACCTGGCAGCCCCTGCTCTCAGCCCGGTACCCCGGGGCCGTGCCCTCAGCCGAGCCCCCCCGGGGCTGGCTGGCACGCACGCCACTAATCCCAGTGCAAGTGGGAGTGAGCCCACTGCGCACCCTCAGAGCCGCGTCACCCCATCCTCCCCACAACTCCCCCCTTCGCTGCTGTGCTGCCCCCCGCTCCCATGCTGGCACCCGGGCTGCACTCTGCGAGGGGAGAGTCGTCCCCATTAGTCCCAAGTGCTGGTTTCGAGCCTTTCCAGCCACACTGGGCAACATCCCAAGCAGACGCACGAGCCCCCACGCAAGAGGCGAAGGGCAGGGGCTCATGCTGGGGGTGACACCAGCGACAGAGCACACACGCCGGGAGCAGCTCCCCTAAAGGATGCTCCTGCCGTCCTCGGCGGGGTTGTGCACCAGGACAGAGCCACAGCTCTGCCCCCCTTGGCCATAGCTCAGGGGTCCCCATGCCCAGCGGGGAGCTGAAGCACCCCCATACACCCCAAACCCTTCGGCAGCAAGGAGCACACAGACCACACTCCTACTCAAACACCCTTTCCACCCATTTTTCTCCCCAATTCATTTCCATCCTGCCCTGCAAGGGGAAGGTGGCGTTTGGCGGGTGTGCGTGGGTGCATGTCTCCATGGCAGCCCCCAGCCCTGAGCACAAGCGCTCCCCACTCCCGTGGGCCAGCAGCTCCCCGTGTCCCCGGTCCCCCATGCCGGGAGCAGCCACCACACTACGAACCCAGCAATATAAAGGGGGAGGAGGTGTAGAGGAGAGTTGGGAAATTAAGGTTTTCAGCGCTGTCAGAGCTGCATCAAACAGGCATCCACCAGCTGATTGCTTGATTGTTATATTTTGGATGTCAAACTGGAGCAAGCAGAAACCTTTAAAATGCATCAGTGCCGCTGCCTTTTTGACGGAGGGTGTTGGTTTCCCATTAACAAGTGGAAAGCGTCAGCTGGAGCAGAAAACTTCAAGCGCTTTGGAATTGATAAAATAACAACTCCCTAATTAAGCAGAACTGTCAGTCAACGGGCGCCTGTTGCCCTGCATTGGGAAGCAGCAGCAGCAGCTCCTGGTGCAGGAGCCCAAGGTGTTGACCCAGCCCGCTGCAGCACGGGGAGAAGCATGGCCCGGGGGGGCAGTGTCCAGAGCATCCTCCCCTCCCCGTTAGACAGGACTGGATCCTGGTCCCAATGCTGAGCATGGCCGAGCTGTTCAGATACCGTGCCTCAGTTTACCTCGCCATAAAACCATGCAATGCAACACGCAGCTCGACAGGGAAGGAAAGGCCCGACCCCAAAATGTACCCATACCAGCATCCTCCCCCTCCAAGAGATAACTAACCAGCCTCGGGAGACATGTCCCCAACAGACACATTGGACACCACGGCCAGGCACGGGTGCAGCATTCCCACAGCGGGCTGGATGCAGCGAGGGGTCCTGCTGGGAAGGTTGTGTCCCCCCTCTGCGTGCTGGAGGATGGCCGGGGGTGTTTGGAGAAGCCTGGCCTGACCACCAGCAGCACAGCCAGCACCCCGCGGGGATGCTGTGCCCTCGGCCAGGCTCCCAGCCCTCCACTACTCCGCTCTCCCTGGCGCAGGGAGGCTGCAAAGGAGCTAATTAAAGGAGCAGCCCATTACCCGAGACCCCCCTCCGACACCGCTGTGCTGCGTAATGAAATACTTTAAATCCACCATGCTTCTCCCAGGCCTGGGGCAGGAGGGACGTGGCATCTCCAGGGTCTCTTTAATAAGCCGCCAGCAGCTCGTTACCACAAAATTGACTGCCCAGTGCTCTGGGTGCTCCCTCGGCACCACGAGCTGCCAGCCTGCCCAGGGGAGAGATGCGAAGGGGCACCCAGGGGGTTGGGGGCAGGGGACAGTCAGGAGAGACATGGGGCTGTGCAGAAGGTGTTTAATCCCCGACCCACTGGTGTCCAACGAGGCCAGCAAGCAAAGGGGATCCCTGCACACCACCTGTTGCCCCGGGGTTGGGCCAGCCCTCGCACCACCAGCCCCAGCCCGGGGTACCCTGCCCTGCCCGGTGAGCAGGCAGGTCAGGCAGGGCGTTTTGTTGGGCAGCCCTCAGCCCTCCCATCTGCCCTGCGACCCGCCAAGCACTGGGCTGGGCTGGGAGGTTTAAGCCACAGAGTCAATGCAGGGGCAAAGGGGGGCTGCCAGGAGGGAGCCCGCAGCAGCGGTGCAGCCCGGGCAGCAGAGCTGCCTGCCTGAAGCCCAGGGGAAGATAAGCAGAGCCACAGCAGAGCCGCCCTGACACGGAGATGGGCCAGGAAGGCGAAGAGCATCCCAACCCGGGGTGCACCCAGGCGAGCCCACCCGAGCGAGCGGTCCCTGCAAATGCCCCTTCGTGCCCAACAGCAGCTGGACCCTGAGCCTGTCCTCCCCCCTCGCTCATCATGGCACCTCAAAGCCTCCAGGGACGCAGCCCCCCCCCCCCCCCCCCCCCCCGAGAAAGCCACCAAACCCCATGCTGGGTGGCAAGGCTCCATTGGGAGCAGCCTGAGCAGTGCCACTTTGGGGACACAGGCCAGGCACCACTCGTACCCCAAGGGACAAGGGACACCAGGAAGGGTGTGGGGGGCAGGGGACAGGGCTGAACAACCCATGTTGCTCCCACACGCTCCCTGGTGGAAGCTTTGCCAGGAGAAGGTATTGGCCCTCCCACGGTTCTGGGACACATTAGGGGACCCCCCGGGTGACAGTTGACACAGGGAAAGGCCACTCCTGCTTTCCCAGGAGGATGGCCTCGAGGGTCGCCTCTGCCAGGACTGATGCGTGCAGGCAACGCTGCTGTCACAGCCTGTCCTTGCCCGGGGGCCAAAAGCCAGCGCCAGAGTAAGCGGGACAGGAAGCCTGTGCCACCTTGCACACCCACACAGACACACCTGCGCATTGCCATCGTCCCCTGTGCAAGCCCTGGCACGCCCTGAGAGGACATGGGTCACTCCTGTCCCAGAGGGGTGGTGATCTGAGTGGATTAATCCCCGGCACCCGCCTGTGCCAAGGGTGCTGCTGGCCCTGCCATCCTCAGCCAGGGTCCTTCCCGCCCAGGGAGGGCTTTGCACCATGGCTTTGGCTCACGTGCCAGCACCGGGAGGCATGAGCATCCCCCCTCCCCGCTCCTGCCTGCCCACAGCTGGGCACACAAACTTGTTCACGGCTCCATCCCCTCGCCCTCACTCCCCAAGGCTGCCCTTCAGGGACACCCAGCTGGGAGGGTCCCCAAGCGTCTCACACCCCAGTGACAGGCACGGCTGACTGGGAATCCCTTCGCTCCTCATCCCAACCCTCCCAGCCACTGGGCCAGAGCAGCGAGAAACCTCCCCGACATGTCCCCAGACCCCACCAATGCGTTCCCCCTGCGGTCCCCAAGGGGCGCAAGCCTTGGGGAGCCCCCCCTCCCCCAGGGCGCACCCAAGGCCATGCAGGTCACACCCTGGGTGGAGATTCGAGAGGCCTCCATGCAACTGCCACCTGCTGCCACCTCCACAGCCCCCGACACCTCCCCCCGTGAATCTCTGCACTGGAGGGACACCAGCTGCCCCCTGCCCATCCATCATGAGTGGGGGACACCCAGCCTCCGCGCAACACCAGCTCCCACAGCCTGGCCACGGGTGCCACAGACAGACAGAGTCTGGCCTCCCTGACCCAAAAGAGCCCTGTTTGCAACCAAGAAAGAACCCCCAAGGCGGGTCGGGTCCTGCCACTTCTGACAGAGCCAGGGCACACTGTGCCAGGACCTCAGGCTGCTATTAGAGCCCCCTGAAGCCTCGTTACACACTAATCACACTGAAGGTGACAGGGCTTAGGGGAGGGCTTAAGAGAAACCGTCTCCTTTTTACTGACACCATCTGGACACAGGCGATCTGATCTTTTCCCCCTTCCCAGCGTGAAGCTGGGGGAGCATCAGCCAGGGGGGCATGGGCCAGTGTGACACCCCCCCCCGGGGATCTGGCACCCTCTGTGCCCTCGCTTGGTGCCAGGATGGTCAGTGCGGTGCATCCCCAGCTCACACCGAGCAAGAAGGGGATTACTGCCCGCACCAGGGATTTCTAACAAGTCCCTGGTGCCAGCAGGGAGCAGAGCTGGGGAAAGCCAGCGTGGAGCCATGCGGGGCTGCATGCTGCCTGCGTGGCCCCCAGGGAGGGGGACGCAGCCCTGAGGAAGGTGGGGGCTGAGATGGGGGACGGGGTGGGTGACAGCCAGCCCGGAGACACCTGTTTGGGGACAGCCCTCCCCCCCAGCCGCTGGCACCCAGGGCCCTGGCATGGCTGGGGTGCCCACAGGCAGAGCCGTTACCGCGGGACTGTCACTCCCTGCGCCCCGGAGCTCGCACGCCGGCGGGAGAACCGGCCGTGAGCCCCCTGCCCGCTGCCGTCCCCGCTCCCCGCCGTCCCCGGGGAGGATGGCGGCACCCGCTCAGCTCTGCCCTGCGACTCTGCCTGAGGCCAGCGGGTGACCCGGGGACAAGCTCAACCCGGGGACAAGCTCAACCCGGCTCCAACATACAACGCCACGACACACCGGCTCTCCCCAAAACTTGACCGAGCCCTTAACCCCCACCCCAACCGTGAGGAAAGCGGGGATCCTCCAAACCCCGCAGCCAGGGGCAAGCTCCAGCTGCCCCAGGGGAAGCACCCGGTGCACCGTCGGGAGCAGGGGGGAAAGTTGCGCTGGGGTTTGGGTCGGGGCAGGGGGTCAGGTACCTTCCAGCCGGCGGAGCTGTTGCTGTCTCCTTTATCCTTAAAGTAGGGGACGTATCGCACCATCCAGTCGTAGATCTGCGAGAGGGTGAGGCGCTTCTCCGGCGAGCTCTCGATGGCTTTGGTGATGAGGTCGGCGTAGGAGAGGTTGCCCCAGGCGTTCCTCCGGGAGGTCTTGGCCTTGCGGAGCTGCCCGACATCCGCGCCGGGGGGCGGCAGGGAGGCGGCGGCGGCTCTGCGCTCCGCCGGGGCCGCCGCGTTCTCGCCTCCCTCCCCGCCGCCGGCCGCCAGCGCCGGGGGTCCTCCCGCCGCGCCCCCATCCTCCTCCTCCGCCGCGAAGTCGGGGTGGGGGAGAGGCCAAGTGCAGGACCGGGGCCGGCTCTGCGGCTCGAAATCCGGGTCGATCTCCACCTGATGCGCCTGGAGCTTTTCTTCCATGGTCCCCTCCCCGTCGCTCCCGCCTCCCCCCCCACCCCCCCCCCCCCCCCACACCCCGCCAAGAACCCCCTCCCCGGAGTTACGGTGGGTTTCCACCAAAAAAAAAAAAAAAATAACCAACACACCCAAAAAACACCAAAAAAAAAAAAAAAAAAAAAAAAACCAAAACACGAGAGCGAGAGGAGTGCGAAGAAGGGCTCCGAGCTCGGGTGGAGCGGGAGAAGGGGAGGAGGAGCCGCTCCGTGCACCCGGGTCCTGGCGGGGCGCAGCCCGAAGTCCGGCGGAGCTCTAGCAGGCGGCTCTGCCCGGCTCCGCGCCGGGAAGCGGGAGGCTAACGGGAGAGACGAGCCGAGGGGGACGCTGCATATTCATCGGTCGCCTCTCCAGCCCCGGGCGAGACGGAGGGGTTGGTTTTTGGTTTGGTTTTGGTTTTGTTTTGTTGGGTGGTTTTTTTTTGTTGTTGTTGTTGGTTTTTTTTTTTGTTGTTGTTGTTTTTTTTTACCAGCCGCGGAGCTCCGGAGTCGTTCCCGGCACGATAGCCAGCGGGGTGGCTGCGGGCGGGCAGGGCGCGGGGGCTGCCGCATCCATCGGCGGAGGCTGCACCGGGCTGGCGGCGCGGTCAGGCAGCAACAGATGAACCGGAGCGACCGGCGGCGGGCGGCATCCTCGGCCGGGGACCGGCGTACTCCGGAGCCGGGCGGCGGGGCACCTGGGCGGGGAGAAGCGGGATGGAGGTGGCGGGCGGTGGCGGCGGCGGTGATGGTGGTGATGGGGGGAAGATGCCTTCCCCCCTCCCGGGGCCGCGGCGGGCGGCCCGGCGCTAAGTCCGGCGGCGCGGCGGAGCCATGCTGGCGGGCGGCACGCACCTGACAGCGCCGGGCGGGCGGCTCCCCGCCCCTACGCCCCACCGCTCCGTTTCAGCGGCCGCGCACCTGCCCCCCCCCCCTCCGCCGCCGCCGCCACGGCGCGGGCGGGCCACATTGCTGGGGGCGGCCGCCGTTTCAGCTCTCGTTCGCTCGCTCCCTCCCTCCGCCGTGCCCGTCGCCGACTGCGGGCGCCGCCGTGACACAGGGGGGAGGGCCCGGAGGGGCGGGAGGAGGGCGGGGGAGGGGAGTGCCCCAGCGCCGGGCGGGACGGAGCGGAGCGGAGCGCCCCGGTACCGCGCGTCCGTCCGTCCCCCCCCCCCCCCCACGCCCCGGGGCCGCCGACCCCCGGCAGCGGCGGCGGCCCCACGTGCGCCCCGGGCTCCCCCCCCCCCCATTGTTGCCCCGAGCCGCCGCCGCCGCCTCATTGGCGGGTGGTGGCCGGCGGACACGCCCCCCCCGCTCGCCTATTGGCGCGGCGCCGGCGGGACGCTCCGCGGAGGGGGGGGGGGGGGGATTGGAGGGAAGGGGGGGGGTGGGGAGGGAGCAGACCCGCCCCGCGGGTGACGTCAGGGGCGCCGGTTGCATCCGCGCGTCACCCCGGGCAACGCGGCCGCCGCGGCCGGGCGGCGGGACACGCCCCTTTACAACGGGTCACGCCCCCTCGCCCGCCGTGCCACGCCCCCCCCGCCGGCGCTGTCGGGGGAGACCAGTGGAGAGCGGGCTCCGCCCCTAAACGGCTCGGCCCCGCCCCTGCCGGGGGCCACGCCCCTCTTTTCCCGCAAGCCCCGCCCCAGGGCCCGGAGCCACGCCCCGCCGCCCACGCCCCGGGGCGGCTGCGCCCACGTGGGGGGGCCGTGTCCGTGGGGGTTCCGTGCCCACAGGGGGGGCTGTGTCCGTGGGGGGAGGGGGGGCGTGTCTGGGGGGTGGGGGCTGTGTCCGTGGAGGGGGCTGTATCCGTGGCGGGGGGGCCGTGTCCGTGGGCGATCCGTGCCCCTGGAGGGGCGGCCCTGCCCCGCCCCGCCCGTTCGCAGCCCACCGGCCCCCGCCCGGGGCTCCCAGCCCCGCTCCCTGCCCCGTCCCCAGCGGCCCGGGCTCCCTGCGGGGCCGGGGACTCCCCGATGATGTCACTACAGGGGTAAGGTGATGGCAATGAGGTCAGGCCCACGGAGCCCACCCGGGGCTGGGCTGGATGCCTGCAGCCCCCTCCTTGCTCCGTGCTGGGCCTGGCAAGGAGGCGGGTGGGAGGGCAGCTCCGGGCACGGGAGACACCCTGCCCGTCTTCACGCACCCCCCGCACCCTGGGGCAATGCACGCCGCCCCTCACACCCACGAGGGTGCAGATGTCTCCCCACGCACACACGTGCACCTCTCACCCAGCACCCACTGGGGACATGCACCCGCTCCAACACCCACTGGGGACGCACGCCTGACCCCTGTCCTCACCCACCTCACTGCGAGGACACGCACCCACTGGGGATGCACACCTGCCCCTCACCCACTGGGGACAAGGGTATCTGTGACGGCTGGGTCCCACCCTTCCCCTTCCCCACCACACACCCAGGCTGGCTCCCCCGCCTCCCCCCAGGACTGCCGCCTGCCCCCCCACGCTGCCCACTCTCCCCATGCCCACCTCAGACCCATCTCTCCACACCCCCCATGCACCGCTGGCCCTGGGGACACTGCCACCGCGCTCCCCGGGTGTCTCTGGGGCTTTGTCACCCTTGCTGCCACCAGCTGTGCCTGTTACAGGGTCTTTAATGCCACAGCCACATGCGATACTTTTCCTGCAGTCCCATTTATTGTCCAAGGGGACGGGCTAAGGTTACCCAAGCAACTATGAAGCTGATGGTTCCAGCCTTGAAGTGCTTGGCCTGACATCTCTAATAATATAATAAAGTATAATGTAATATAATTAATATAATATAAATAATACAATATACAAGGGGGACTCGACAAGTGCTCTGTTTCACACAACCTGCAAGTGGTAGCGGTGGCTGCAGATGCCCCAGCCGTCCCTGGAGGCACATCCCAGCTAGCTGGAGGCTGAGGTGTTTGCATTCCCCAACCCCCCCCCGCCACACCGCCGGGGACCTGCTGGCCAAACCCACATCCACTGGTTCAGCTGGTCCGGGCGGGCTGCCCCAGGCTGGCACCAGATGCGCCCTGGCCAGCCTGGCTGGGAGCAGCCTTGGACCTGACCCCAACCCCCCCTCGACCCTACAGACCCCAGGGCAGAGCCAGCCTCCACATCTCCCTGTGCCACCCTCCTCCCTGGAGCTTTCTCCTGGGATCTATCCCAAATTTCCCTTGCTATGGTTTACACCCACAGTCTTCTTCCCCTACCCCAAGGGCCCAGAGGCAGGATCATTCCCTCCTCTCTCAGCAGCCTTTTGCCCACTTGGAGCCGGGCAGTGTTTCTTCCCTCAGTCTTGCTTTTATTAGTCAAAACCCTCTCCCATTTCTCACCTGCTGTTCTAGCCTTGTTCTTCCAACCCAGGCTCAGCTCCCCTGTGCCCAGCTGAGCGGGAGGGTCCTGGCCTGCACAACCCTTCCCGTGCTGCTCCCAGCCTGCCCTGTGCTGCCCAGTGCCACTCCAGCAGTATTTCTCCTCCTCCACTGCAGTGGGTACATCTCCCTGCGATCACCCTGAGCCACCTTATCCCTCGGGCGCTGGCACAGACCTCCCTGCCCGTGCTGCCAGGTCACCCCTGTGCTTTGTCAATACCTACTGCTGCAGAAACATGCTGGTCTTGCACACCTGCTGCCTCAGTTTCCCCACCTGTAGAGCAGTATTTACCCTTGCAGACAAGGACGGCTGCCGGTGGTGAAGGTGACAGGCAGGCGTTAGATGGCTTCATGGCTCCTTGCACCTAAAAGCAACCAAACCTGCCCAGTACTCCCACCCCTGGCTTGCCCAGGACCTCATCCCTGGCCTCCTCATTCAGCCCCAGGGGTGTGGAGCAGCACATTTCTGGGTGCGTGTGGCCCCAGCCAAGGCACCCACAGGTCTGGGGTGTGGAGAGGTGGGTGTTCAGCCCTCTGCCCCCCCAGAAGCAGTGCAGGGCTGGCTTCCAGCATCACCTTCCCAAGCACCTGGTTAATTATCACTTAACCGCCTGGCACCAGGCAGGAGCATCTCTATTAAGCCAGCTGCACGCTGCCACCATCCCCGTTAAGCAGCAGGCCTTGCTGCTCAGCCATTGCTTTATGGTAAGAGGCAGTCTCGGGAGCAGAGGTGGGGGGCACCGAGCTGCTGCGTCTCTCCCCCACACCCCGGGGTGCACCCTGCTCCTGGCTGCCCGATCCCAGATGTGCAGCCATGCCTGGGGAAGCATGTGTGTGGAGGGGGAAGTCTGTGAGGTAAGCACTAGGATTTCAGAGATTTTTGTTAGTCAAAACCCTCCCACATCTCTCACCTGCTCCTCCAGCCCTGTTTTTCCAGGGCCTGGTGTGAGTATCAACACAGTGGGTCTGGGGGTGGGGGGAAGAGCAGAGCAGAGCCTGGCTGGGCGGCAGCAGCAGCAGGGAAGGGGGTGATGGGAGGGGTTGGGGCTGCCAGGTCTGGGCACAGAACCCTTTCCAACACCCTTCCCACAGCCAGCACGGCCCTTGCCCAGTGCACCTCCCTGCTCTTCCAGCATCATCTGGGGCAAAGATGTCCCTGGGGCTACCGGGAAATGGGGCTCCTCTGTCCCCCCGGCTCTAGGACAGAAACCAGTTTGCTCTTGGATGATGATGCTGCAACTCAACACCTTGGTTTATCATGTGAAGGTCACACTTCAGGAGAGGGAGGGAAGGGATCCCTTACCCAGATATGTCCTGTTTCAGTAAGGTGCCCAGCACCTCCAGGGTGGGAAGAATGAGGCTGAAAGGGAAAACAGGAGCATAATGGGGATGGAGTGAGCAGGATCAGCTCTGATACATTCTGCCACGCACGTGTGAGCTGCTCCTTGCAAGTGAGAGTGGCAGCAAGGGGGGCTGTGGCTGCCCTGTCCCAGCACTGCCCCCCCTGAAAGCACCAGATCTGTGCCCACCATCGGTGGATGGATGCTCTGGTGCCTTGGGTGCTGCAAGTCACCTGCAAAACTGGTCTGAAAATGATCCGAACAAGAGGAACTCCAGCGTGCACCACGCTGAGCCCCACAGC